GCTTCAAAGGCATTAATTCATCCTATTTCATGGCTGAGTAGTAATCTATGGCATACATATACCGCATTTTATTAATCAACTCATGAATTGTGCACTTGGGTTGGTTCTACATCTTTACAACTGTGAGTTGTGCTGCAATAACATTTGAGTGCCTGTGTCTTTTTGATAGAGACCTCTTTCCTTTTGGTAGATAAACAGTATAGTGGGATTGTTTGATCGAATGGTAGGCCTGCTTTTATTTCTTTAAGAATCTCCACACTGTTTTCCATAAGGTTTGTACTAATTTGCAGTTCCACCAACAGTGTATGAGTGTTACTTTCTCTCTGCATCCATTCCATCATCTATTGTTTTTGGACTTTTTGATTAAAGCCATTCCATTTAATAACAGGGGTAAGGTAATATCTTACCATAGTTTTAATTTGCATTTCCCTGATGCATAGTGATGTTGGGCATTTTTTCAAGTTTATTGGCCATTTGTCTATCTTCTTTTGAGAAGCTTCTATTGACATCTTTTGCCCGCTTTTTAATGGGGTTGTGTGTTCTTTTCTTGCTGATTTTCTTGAGTTCTTTGTACATTCTGGCTATTATTAACCCTTTTCAGATGTATAGCTTGTGAATATTTTCTCCCATTCTGTAGGTTGTCTATTTGTTCTGTTGGTTATTTTCTTAGCTATATAGAAGCTTTTTAATGTAATCAAATCCCATTTATTTATTTTTGTTGTTGCCATGATTGCCATTATGGTCTTTTTCATAAATTCTGTGGGTAGACTGATATCTAGAAGAGTTTTTCCTATATTTTCTTCTTTAATTCTTATGGTTAATGTCTCAGGTTTAAGTTTTTTATACACAATGGGATTAATTTTTGTGAGTGGTGAGAGAGATAGGGATCCTGATTCATTCTTCTGCACATGGCTATCCAGTTTTCCAATGGTATTTTTTGAAAAAGGGCTTTCCCCCCAAAGTTTACATTGTTGTCTGCTTTGTTGAAGATCAGTTTTTTTTGTAGGTAGGGGGTTTTATTTCTCTATTTTGTTACACTGGTCTATGTCTCTGTTTTTGTACCAATATAATACTGCTTTGGTTACTGTAGCCTATAGTACACTTGAAGTCTGGTGATGTGATGCCTTTAAATTTGTTATTTTTTCTTAAGATTGCTTTGACTATTCGGGCTGATTTCTGGTTCTAAACAATGTGTGGAATTATTTTTACTAGATCTGTGAAATATGACAGTGGTATTTTCATGGAGATTGGATTGAATCGTAAATCACTTTGGATAGTATGGACATTTTAACAGTGTTGATTCTGCCAATCCATGAGCATGATATATTTTTCCATTTGTTTGTGTCCTCTGTAATTTCTTTCCTCAGGGTTTCACAATTCTCCTTGTAGAGATTTTTCACCTCCTTGATTATAAATATGAATATATTTCTAGGTATTTTGTGTTCTTTGTAGCTATTGGGAATGTTATTGAATCTTTGATATGTGACTCTCAGCTTGTCTGTTATTTATTGGTGTATAGAAATACTACTGATTTATGTATCTTGAATTTACACCCTGGGACTTTGGTGAACTTAGTTATCAATTTCAGGAGTCTCTTGGTGGAGTCTGTGGGGTTTTCTAGGTAGAAGATTATGTTGTCAGTGAATTACAATAGTTTGATCTCCTCTTTCCCAATTTGGAAACCCTTTGTTTCTTTGCTTTTCCTGATTGCTTTGGCTGGGACTTCCAGCACTATTTTGAATAAAAGTGGTGACAGTGGGCACCCTTGTCTTATTCCCCTTCTTAGGAGGAATGCTTCCAACTTTTCCCCCATTCAGCATGATGTTGTCTGTTGGTTTGTCATATATGACTTTTCTAATTTTGAGACACGTTCCTTCTATGCCGAGTTTGTGAGGGTTTTTATCATGAAAGGGTGCTGAATTTTGTCAGATGCTTTTTCTGCATCTATTGAGATGATCATACGGTCTCTGTTTTTCCTTCTCTTTATGTGATGAGTCACATTTATTGATTTGCATTTGTTGAACCATCCTTGCATTCCTGGGAGGGAGCCCACTTAGTCATGTTGAATTATTTTTTTGATGTGCTCCTGAATTCAGTTTGGTAGCATTTTACTGAGGATATTTGCATCTATATTCATAAGGGTATTGGTCTGTAGTATTTCTTTTTTGTATGCCTTTTCCTGGCTTTGGTATCAATGTGGTACTGGCTTTATAGAATGAATGCATTGGGGAGAATTCCCTCCTTGTGTGTGTTATGGAATAATTTTTCTAGTATGGGTACCAGCTCTTCTTTGTGGGTGTGGTAGAATTTGGCTTTAAATCCATCTGGTCTGGGGCTTTTTTGTTGTTAAAAGATTTTTTATTACTGCTTGGATATTTTGTCCTTTACTGGTTTGCTCAGGAATTCTATTTCTTCCTGCTTGAGTCTCAGGAGGTTATGTATTTGCAGGAATTTTTCTATTTCCTCCATGTGCTCTTATAAAACAACAGCAAAAGATGGAAAACAAAGCAATAAGCTACTACCCAGCATGATGAACAGAACAGCATCACACAGATCTAGTCTATCTCTTACCTTTAATGGCTTAAATGCACCACTCAAAAGACATAGGCTGATGGATGAGAAAAGGCATCTCATATCTGCTGTCTCCAGGAAACACAGAGTCAAGGTGAAAGGATAGAAAAATATTGCATGCAAATGAAAACCAAAAGAGAGCAGGCATACTCATTCTCATATCAGATAAAATTGAGTTTAAATCAACAAAGGTAAAGAAAAAGAGAGTCATTATATAATAGTAAAGGGAGCAATTGAACAAGAAGACATACCAATCCTAAATATACAAACACCTAACAGAGCGGATACATAAAGCAAATTTTACTAGAGCTAGCAAAGAAATAAATAGCAGCGTCTTAATTGCTGGGGTCTTCAACACCCCACTGTCAATGTGCACAAGTCATCAAAGCAGAAAATAAAGAAACACTGGATTTGAACCTGACTCTAAATCAAAAGGACCTAACAGAAATTTACAGAAAATTTTACCAAAAACTACTGAATATACATTCTTTTCAGCATTACATGGAACATTCTCCAAGATTGATCGTGTCTTAGGCCACAAAGGAGTCCCCAAGAAATTTTTAAGAATTTAAATTATACCATGTGTCTCTCAGAGCTCAGTGGGATAAAAGTAGGAATCAGTCAGAAGAGAAACACTCGAAGCTGCGCAAACTCATGGACATTAAACCACCTACTGCTAAATGATTATTTGGTCAAGAATGGAATTAAGATAGAAATTCAAGATTCTTTGAAATAGCATCAGTCATGTTTTAACTTTAATTATTTTACCTTATTGTTGTTACATTGTTTTAAATTTAATTATTTCATCTCATTGTTACACTGATGTTATTAATGCCATCAGATGTTCTGATTAGCAGACTATATGGGTGATATCTTTGTTTATTGAAAATTAGGGAAGTAATTAATCATTCCTTAATGACAATTTGGTAAACATGGTCTTTTACAAGAGTGATCCTGAAAATTTTGGGGATTAGGGTCCTTTTGTAGTATTTTCTTTTTTTGAAAGAGTCTTACTTTGTCAACTCAGCTAGAATGCAGTGGCATCCGCATACCTCACTGCAACCTCAAACTCCTGGGCTCAAGCGATCCTCCTGCCTCAGCCTCCTGAGTAGCTAGGACTACAGGAAGAGGCCACCATGCCCAGCCAAATTTTTCTGTATTTTTGTAGAGATGGGGTCTCACTCAGGCTGGTCTCGAACTCCTGACCTCAAGTGATCCTTCTGCCTCGGCCTGCCAAAATGCTATGCCTTTTGTATTATAGTATTAAAAAATATTGTGTAGACATAACCAATACCTGGAGTTAGCTGTGTATCATTCCCATGCACTTTTAAAATATTTTACTATATTTGTGTATGCCATAAATATTATAATGAATTAGTTTTCATGTCCTAAAATTTTATATAAATTGTGTACAGCATGTATATTATTCTGCCACTTTTCAAAATCTCAACATTATATTTTTGAGATTTATGTATATTGACACAAGTACTCCTGGTTTAAGTTCCTTATGATATTTTATCACATGAATGTACCACGTTTAACTGAGCTTCTCTGAATGCTGATAAAGGAACAAAAGTCAGTAAAAATGATTGGCGTTTCCTCAGAGCAGTTGTATTAAGTGGGTTATATGTATTGATTTTTTCTATATTGCACATTAAAATTGAAAATTTTTAAATACAAAACCCAGATTTATACATTTATTTATTCAATAAAAGTCTGTTTGTACAAAGATGTTTTGAAAGATTGTCCTCTACAGTCCAGGAGCAAAGGGGATAAACATGGAAAGAAAGGACTTACAGTTCAGGTGGGAAAGATACAGTAGAGAAATCAATGAAGTGCCCAAAGAAGGAGATGCCTGTATATCTGGGGGAAGAGCCAGAATCAAGGAAGATTTCATGTAGCAGTCTCATTCTTAAAAGATGGAAAGAATTTTGTCTGAAGAATAGAGGCAAGCATTTCAGATACAAAGAATAGGGTGTATACTGATGAAGATATAAAAAGTAACAGTAAGTGTGTGAATTATTAGTAAAAACAACATACATAGCATGGTGTTAAAAAAGGTCCTATTATGAAGTAGAGAACAGTATGCAGTGTTAATTTATGTGACTTCGTATTTTTATATTTTAGGTATTTTTCTAATGGTTTTGTTCATTTCTGTTGGGTGGATGAATTTGTTAGGGAATCTTTGAGATGTTTGTTTGCCAGGTACTTGGTGGACATCTTGTGCCTCCCTGAGAGGTTTTTTTAAGTTTTGGATAATTAGGAGTATTTTTAAAGAAGTAAATATTCTTCTAAAGATTAAGCTTCATTTACACTCTCAATTTATAATATGAAAAGAAATTTAATTTTCTGTCTACTCTTATAAAGACTGTAGCTTCTATGGAACCATTCTCAGTAGCTCATTTTAACTAAATATATGGATTTGACAGCACAACAAGATGTTGTAGCAACATCAGAACAAGAGGAAGAAAAACTTGAAGGAAGTGAAAATAACCAGCCACAGGTATAAAAAATTTAGATTTCAATTTCTAGTTTAAGATTGTTTTCTTTGCATTACTAATGTAGGATAGTCAAAAGGAAATTACTTTTTGGACTAGCATTTTAGAATCAATTTGTCATAATTTGATACTTATTTTAAAAATCTTTTAACTAGTTATAAAACTTACAATGTTCTTAAAATGAATAGTAACTTATACCTAAATTTGCCATTGGAATAGAAGCAGAAGATTTCTGGAATTTTTTTCCCTTTAATTTTTATACATTATTGTCTCTTAATAATGTTAAGTTTGCCTCTAATGATATGATAAGGAAGGTAACATCAAATATTATATCATATTACTAAACAGTAGAAATTATGAGCAATTTCACAGTCATGGGTACTGACTTGGACTCAAGTTAAAAGTTTAATCATTCCCAGTGTTTCCAAAGTTACAGTTTTACTTTGCCCATCACCAATGCCTAGGTGAATTTTTTTTTTTGCCTTGTGGTCTCTAATTCATATCAGTGTCTATATTCAGGGAGCGAATGGGGATCATTAAGACCATGCCTATGAAGAGAATGCTACTTTACAGACTGGGCCCTTTGGTGCTAGAGTACAACAGTAAATTTGTAACTAATTTACATGTAGGAAATTAGTAAATAGTACCAAAATTATTTTGTCTGCTGTCATTAGTAGTGAACATTAGAATATATCAGACTTAGACTTAAACAGATAGTCTGTGCATGTTCATAACACTGTCATATGATGGTGTATAATTTGAATTAAAACTTAAAAATTGGCTTTGCTTTCTGAATGACATTGATTTTATCTCCTAATAATATAAAGTTTACCTAGTCTCCAGTTATTAACCTTTAGAAACAGTACTGAAATGCACTAGGGGAGTTCACTAAGGTATGCTAAGAAAAAAATCCTTTTAAGTGAGGTGGGCTTTGCAATACTACATATCACCTGCTAATGAATTTTTGGTAGATTTAAAACAAAATAAGTTAATTCTAAACAAAGAGTGCCGATGTTAAGTGTGCTAATTCATGTTTTTCTCCCATTGTAGGCTGAGGAAAATTATTTTTCACTTTATGTTAGGAAGCTTTTGTAGTACTGTAAATCATCTCCTAATTTATTTTTGGTAGATTTAAAACACAATATATTAAGGGCATTCCAAAGAAAAAGTGACAACATTTAGTTTTCTGGTTCATGGTTGTTGTTTTTTCTGTTTTTGATTAGGCCAAATCATTTTTCACTTCTTAGTTATAATCCAGTAATTTGCAGGTAGCCAAACATAGATTAAGAAGAGTAACAGTTAATTCAATAAAATTTTAATTATTTTCTAATATTTCTTTGCCCATACTTGATTACTTGAAGTTATTTTAATACATGCACTCTGTGAAAAAAGACACCTGAGGAACAAAATTAGCAAATTAATCATTTACTTTTTCTTTGGAAAAAATATCTCAAGAACTAAAAATACAGATTATTATAGAGTGAATGTATCTGTATATTCAGGTTGTCCATGTGTATAAAATATGAGCAAATATGAATCAAACAAGGCAAGGTAGACTGGAAAAATAAACTAAAAGCTCATCACAAATGAGTTAAAACAGAGGTTTGGTGAAATTCGTGAAAAATGTAAAATTACTGTTGCCCTGAGGAGGAGTTTCTGCAGGCTAACTAACTCTAGAGGAGTAACAACCTTAAAGGAAATACTCTCTTATTTGACAAATAATATACTTGATTGTGGGAGGAAAAATAAGCACCTCAAGTATCTATCTTGGTAGTATTTGTGGCATTTCCTGAACAAGATCTCAGTCTCAGAAATGCCTTTCCTATCACGCATACGCTGGGTCCTTGGAATGTGCTTCTGTCATCTTCCAAACTTTATTTAAATGAAAATAAACTATACTGTGAAAATGATAACAGGCAATGAACATGTTTCTAACAAAGAAGAGGAGACTTTTTATAATGATACAGAAATTATAAACGCAAGGATCTCAGAAGATGTTACAGTTGAAAGAACACCAAGAGTTTGATATGCAAATTACAAAAATATCAACCCCAAACCCACTGATTGAAAATAAGACATCAGAAATATGCTTCAGTCTAGTAATCTAAAAAGTCTTTTTAATTTGTAGCTTACCTATCACAAAGAAATGAAACATATAATTCAAACAAAAAGGCACACTATTTTTGCTATTACAGACACTTAAAAGAAAACCAATGCAGGACTTGTTCCAGAGACCATTATGTGAGACCCACGATGCTAATAAATATAAAAGCATGAAAACTTAATTAGAAAATGTGAGTTCTTGCCCACCAAATGACAGAACGCCAAAAGCTTATTATAAAGAATTACAGCAATATATGCAAAGGTTTATAAATGAGGTAGTCATGTTACAAGTAGAATTCCTGGCTTTGGAGCAAGAAAAAGTTCAACTTCGAAAAAACGTACAGTCCCACTTGCTGCTATTCTTTTTCTGTCAGTTGTGTGATCCAGTCTTATTTGCTGCTTATGGAAAGGCCATGTGTAAAATGGCATTATTGGAATATGTAACTGTGTGTAGAAATACATAATTTCTGCTATCTAAATGATTGGAGTTCAGGAAAACTTTCTCATAATCTTTGTTCCTTAACCATCCTTTGTCTCTCTATTAGTCATCAATGTGGTCTGTGAACTGGGAAAGTAATTGAGCCATATAACATGTGACTTTATAAACCACGATGGGCATAAAGAAAATTGCTAAAAAATATAATAAGCTCTAGCATTTTTCCCTATTGACTTAAATGTGAACTGCATTTATGTAAACAATAAAATGGGAACACAATGGGAAGGAAACAATGACTGAGATCACTTAAAAAAAATGTGTCCAGGCTTGAGAGTTGCAATAAATATTCCCAGCCAAAGGAGTCTGTTTATTGTACTTTCATATGTGCAAGTTTATCTATTTAAATCAAACCGTTGGAACTTATAAATCCATCACTTCCACTTTAAATATTTTTGACAGCAAATATATATATTTCTATGTATTTAAAAAAAATCACCACTCTCAAATATTTCTATTGAATCAAGTGATGACATTATGTTGTTTAATAAATGGTACATTTTGGCCTGTATGATCTTCTTCTCAGCCTAAAGTTTAGTATTTGACTCCAAAGTGGAAAGGTGAATTCAGTACATTGAGTTTTGAAAACAGACAAAATCTAGAGATTCTCTTTTTTAAAAGTAAAGTAGGCGAGACCTCCCATCCCCTGCTGAGGCACTACATTACTTTGCCAAAGTCATACTTTTAACTTGCATGATTAATTTGTTGAATTTATCAGATGGTTTATCTGATTCAGCATTATGGAATTGTGCCATCTCTCTGATGCCATAAAATGCTAGAAAATGGCACTCTAGGAGCTTTGGACTGATGACTCTTTGTTGGCTTTACTTCCATTACCAGTAGATAGTGGGGCTGAAGCAGATAATTACCTATAAATCCTCTGGCTATAAAATTTGATGGCTGCTGAAAGTGAATTTGGAAAGCATCTCATTTTCCAGAATTTTACACTAGCAACTCGACAGTTTTATTCTGCTTTTTTGTATTGTGGCAAACTTTGCTTTCAGTGAGTGCCTTCACTTTTATAATATTCCAGGATCCGTTTGAAAAAAGAATGATAAAATGTAATGGGGAAAGTATGGCTTGGTGCAGAAAGGGGGAAGCTTCTCTTCCATTCCTGAAGCCCCACAGTGTCACATCCTTTAAATCTGGCTGTTTAAAATCCAGGTGTTAAAGATAGAAGATGACACATTTTGTGTCTTTGTCTTTTTATTTTTCAATTTCTGCCAGTCAAATGGGGTGAAAATTCATATTAGATAGCAAAGAGTAGATGGCCAAATAAGCAAAAAATTAATAAAGGTCCCTTTTTGGTATTTGGGGAAATTTGGTTTCATTTACTCCAAGAGATATCGAGCAGACTTTCTAAAAATTTCAATGAAAAATTATAACAATTGCATCTCTTAATTATATGATAATACTTATATATAATGATAAAATTAACATAAGAACAAAATAGTTTCACTGACAATAATCATGATAAACTGTTATTAATATTGCATATAACCAATAAAAACAAAAAAGTGCTTTTTATTGAATAAAGTAGTAAAAATTATTCTTTATATCTTTTCTTCTAGGTTGGAAAAGAAAGGAAGAAGCATAAAACTGATGAGACAGAAGTATATAAGCACCTCTGTGATAGTGCATCTGGGGATAGTAATTGTGACGAATTAGTCCAACAGAGAAAGGCTGGAAAACCTGATCATCTGCAGTTTGCTAGGAAGGACAGTGCAGAGTGGGATTGCTATAGGTGAGCCTGTAGCAATATTTAGCAGTAGATAATTATTATTGTACTATAAAATGAATTCTAATTTGGGCTAATATTTATGATTAACAAATTTTATACTTTTACTAGGGATATTTAGCCTTTCCTGGTAATTAGAAAAATGCAAATAAATAAGCAATGAGATACCATTTTTCCCATTCATCCTGATATTGTATAAACAAAATGATAGTGTTGGTAAATGTGAGGAAAAAGGTATCCTCATACACTGTTGGTCAATAAAAGTGGTAAATCCTTTTGAACAGGCAATTTAGCAGTGGGCATCAAAATTTTAAAATGTCATTCATTTAATCTAGCATCATCAATTCTGGGACTTGATCTTACAGGAAAACATGACATGTGGAAACACATGGAGACATGTTAAGAACATTTATTATCTATGGTACATACATATAATAGGCCAATGTATATATAACACATGTGAAGATATATAATATGTACATTGATATTTTTATAAATATGTTATGTATATATGTATGTTACAGAAGTTTATTATAGCATTGTCATATCAAAAAGTTGGAGATAGTTTTGTTTTTTTGTTGTTTGTTTGTTTGTTTTTGAGATAGAATCTTGCTTTGTTGCCCAGGCTAGAGTGCCATGGGCCAGCCTAGCTCACAGCCACCTCTAAGTCCTGGGCTCATGTAATCCTCTTGCCTCAGCTTCCCGAGTAGCTGGGACTAGAGGCGCATACCGCTACACCCAGCTAATTTTTTCTCCTATTTTTAGTAGACTCGAGGTCTCACTCTTGCTCAGGCTGGTCTCGAACTCCTGAGCTCAAGTGATCCTCCCACCTTGGCTTCCCAGAGTGCTAGGATTACAGGTGTGATCCACTGTGCCCAGCCAAGGAGATAGTTTAAATACCCATCAGTAAGGAAAGAGTTAAATTGCCATACCCATAAAATAATGTGGTATGCAACCATTTTAAAAAATGAAGTTAGAGCTATAGTATACTGATCATTTCCTAATTAAAGTATGCTTAAATCATTTAGTTTAGTGACACATCTTCAGCAAATTTTGTAAGAATTTTTGTAATATCTGCTGAGTTGTAAAAGGCAGCTATATGCTATGCTATACTGGCACTTTGTGTATTACCAAGAAAGTTACAGGTTATTACATTTTTGTTTCTTGTTCTCAGTGCATGAATATTCAAATATTGGAACCTCTAATTAATCTGAGTATTACCAAGCGATTCTATATGTATACCCATATTTCAAATAAACATTTCAGTATAATGGATAAAACTTATTACAGCATATCAAAGGATGTTTGATATGCTAAAACAGGAGTTGGCAAACTTTTTCCATAAAGAGCCAGACAGGAAATATATTTTAGTCTTTGTGGGCCATAAGGTCTCTGTTGTAGTCCAAAATCTGTCATAGAAAATAAGTAAATGAACATGGTTGTGTTCCAATGAGACTCTGCTTACAAAGACAGCCAGTGGGCTGCATTTGGCTTACATCTACTCATTTTCTGACCCTTGTGATAAAACCAAGGTGCTGCTAATGCAGCAAATTTGTTTCTAAAGTTACCCTGCAGGCACGCATTATCCTTTTAACAGATTGTGTATTTCAGTAGGCGCCACACCATAGTATTCAGCAGACCTCATGCTATATAATTTACAAAATTTCAGTTCAAGAATATGAGTATTTTTGCATTTCTTCCCTTTTAATTTCCATTACAGAATTCAATATTTTAATATGACTAATTTCTTCATCCCTTAATGTTACTCTGTTTATACTTTAAGCCCTCTTGTAGAAAATTATTGTATCCTACATTACTTGTAAAAAAAATTTGCGAACTTTATAAGCAGGAGAAATAAATGACAAATGCAGAGATTTTTATAACAATAGTTTTAGATATTTGCATTTTACATATTTACTATTCGCCTGAAAGGAATTATTTGTTTTTGTTTTAGGCCTGCAAAGGGAACATTTAAGAAACAGAACAAGGTATTGTAAAATATAAACCATCAACCAAATTATTGTTAAAAATACATTATAAAAGGTAAAGTAAAGAAATAGAGAATCTTTTGTTAAAGATATTTACTTTGAAAAAGAAATTGTAGCCATAGATATCCTTTTAACACAAATCAGTACTTTTAAGAAGTACTTGTGTTTTTGCTTATCTATAAAAAAAGGATAATTACCACTTCTGTACATTTAGTTTATGCTGTAAATATTTCAGGGACATTTTGAAATAGTGTTATTTATGAATATTTTATAGATGAGAAACCAAACACATTCTTCAGATGACCATGATGACTTAACTTGCTCATCTGAAGTAGCCTCAGAACAACTTGGAAGGGATCGTGAAGGTAGGACCCCTGCATTAGTACAAGGCCTTTTTGTGTATCTTATATAGTGTATGAACACATTGCTTAGCACTGCAGCATAAGTACCAATTTCATGTCAGAAATATGATTTATGTTAAAATAGAATGAGAGCTAGCATATGTTGTGCACTCTCAGCCAAAGAGCTATGAGAATTCCACTGGACCTTTTTCAGTGTGAATGGCACTCCTGGTTTTCTGTTGACTCTGCTTCTCTCCTCTGTCTTTACTCGAGGTCAGATTACCATTATCTCCCATCTGGAATAATGCAGTAACCTTAGAACTGTTGTCCCTGCAACCCCATCTCCTGAAACCATGTTCTGCTTGGCAACCATATTATATACTTTTAAAAATTCAGATCTGATTGTGTGACCCCCTTATTTAAAACCCAGCTGCCACTTCTCATTGCTGTAAGGTTAAAGATCTTAATTCTAGCTTTATCCTGTATCGTTTTATTACCCTCTTTCTCTCTGTGTCCAAACCACTGTGTTAAGTGTTTGTTCCTTCAGTCAGTAGCTTTAGTGAGGTATAATTGACATATGATAAACTGCACATATGTAAAATGTACAATTTGATAAGTTTGGGCATGTGTGTACTCGTGTGAACCCATTACCATAATAAAGATAGTTAACATATCCATCACTTACAGCGATCTCTTCATGGCCCTATATACTCCTTTATTAAGAAATTGCTAAATTATTTTCCAAAGTATTTGTACTATTTACTATTCCCTTCAGTTGTTCTGTATTATTATAAACATTTAGTGTTATTACCATTGTTTAAATTTTTAGCCATTCTGATGGATGAGTATTGATTGGACATATCATTGTGATTTTAATGCCCATCACCCTAATGACTAATAATGTCGAGCATCTTCCCATGTGCTTATTTTCCAGCTGTACATTTTGTTTAGTGAGACATCTTTTCAGTCCTTTTGTCATTTAAAAAGTTAGATTGTTTGGCTTTTTACTTGAGTTTTAAGAGTTCTTTATATATTCTAGACACTGTTTCTTTACTAGCTATGTTTTCTGCTAGTTCTGGGAACTTTTCCCAGTTTGTGGTTCAACTCTTCATTTTTTAAATAGTATCTTTTGAATAGAAGAAGTTTTAAATTTCAGTAAAATCCAGTTTATTTGTTTAATTATCGATTTTGTTTTGCCATATCTAAGAAATCTTTACCTAGTGCAGGGTCACAAAGATTTTTCTCCTATGCTTGCTTCTAGAAGTTTTATAGTTTTAGCTCTTATATTTAGACTTACAGTCTATCTTGAGTTCTGCTTTGTTATGGTTTGAAGTATGGATTCAAGTTCAGTTTTTTGATATGGAGATCCAATTGTTCCAGCAACATATTCCAAAAAGGCTATCCTGGATCCAGTACATTGCCATTGTGCCTCTGTCAAAAAGAATTTGGCTGTACATGTGTGAGTCTATTTCTGGACTCTCTGTTGGATTCCACTGATTTACAGATTCTCCTGAACTATAGGGTTGCATCCTGATAGAACCATCATAAGTTGAAAATTCATTTAATGCCCCAATAAACCGTAAAGTTGAAACAGTCCTCAGTCTCAGGACCATCTGTATTTGGCTCTCATCATACAGGTTGAGCATCCCTATTCCAAAAATGTGATCTTTGAAAGGCTTCTAAATCTGAAACTTTTTGAGTGTCAGTATTACACCACAAGTGGAAAATTCCACCCCTGACCATGTCATATACACCAACTTGATTTCACGTTTAGATTTGGATTCCATCCCCAAGATATCTCATTATGTATATGTACATATTTCAGAATCAGAAAACAAAATCCAAAACCTGAAACACTTCTGGTCTCAAGCATTTTGGATAAGGGATACTCACCCTGTGCAAGTATCATGCTGTTTTGATTACTATGCATTTATAACAATTCTTGATATCAGCCCTGCAATATTGGTTTTCTTCAAGGTTATTTTGGCTATTCTAGATCCTTTGCATTTGCACATGAACGTTGGAATCAGCATGTCCGTTTTAAAAGGTTGCTAGCCTGCTGAGAATTAGATTGGACTTCTGATAAATCTATAGGTTAATTTGGGGAGAATTGACATCTTATCAATAAGGAATCTTTCCACTCCTGGAAAGTTATTACTCCATTTGTGTAGGTCATAGTTAATTTGTTCAGTAATGTTTTATAGTATTCAATGTGTAGGTCCCTCCCTATTTTATCATATTTGTCAGTATTTTATATTTTGATGAAGTTGTAAATGCTATTTTTTAAATTTTGTTTTTGTTTTTTACTGCTAGTATTTAGAAATACAGTTGATATCTGTATGTTGATTTTATAGCCTGTACCTTGATAAACTCACTTATGAGTTCTAGTAGCTCTTTTGGTGGATTCAGTAATATTTTCTACATAGTCCAAAGATTGTCAAAGCTTTTATTTCGCAAACTACTCTTTTACTAAAGATAGTAAATATCTTAGACTTGTGGCAAAACACTCTCGGTTGTAGCTAATCAATTCCATCGTAGTATGAAAGTTATCATAGACAATACATACATTAATGAACATCGCTGTATTCCAATAAAACTTTATTTACAGAAAGCAGAAGCTAGCCCACAGGTTGGAGTTTTAGCCCACACCTATAATGTGATCATGATTGCAAATAAAGATAGTTTTACTTCTTTCTTCTAATTTGGATGCCTTTGAGTTCTGTTTCTGGCCTCACTGTACTGGCTAGAATCTTCAGTGCAATACTGAATCAAAGCAGTGAAAGCAGACACTTCTGTGTCGTTCCTGGTCTTATGGAGAAAGCATTCAGTTTTCCCCCATGACCCATGTTAACTGTAAGTTGATCATAGATGTTCTTTATCATGCTGAAGAAGTTCCCTTGTATTCTTGGTTTGCTGAGAGTGTTTTCTAATCAGGAATAAGTGTTGAATCTTTTCAAATGTTCCATCTACTGAGATGATCATGTGATTCTTCTCTTTTAGTTTGTAATATGGGGAATAACTGTGCTTTTTTAATGTAAATGCACTCTCTTCCTGGGATAAACCTCATTTTTAAATGCTGTCTTATTATTTTAACATCATTGAATTTGATTTTTTAAAGTTTTGTTTAGAATTTTTTACAGACTTAATTTTTTTACAGCCATTTTTGGTTTAACAGCAAACCTGAGAAGAAGGCACAGAGATTTCCCATATACCCCCTGCCCCACACATGCATAACCACACCCGCTATCTATATAACCACACCCACTGTCTCACCAGGGTGGTACAGTTACACTGTAGGTCATAGATGAGCCTACACTCACACATCATAATCACCCAAAGTCCATTGTTTACTTTGGAGTTCATTCTTGATATGCTGTGCATTCTGTGGTTTTGGACAAAGGTATAATAACATCTATCCATCATTATAGTATCATACAAAGTATTTTCACTGCCCTAAAAATCCTCTGTGCTCTGCGTATTTATCCTTTGCCCTACTCCCCAACCCCTGGCAACCACAGATTTTTTAAAACTGTATCCATAGTTTGGAACTTTCCAGAATGTCATATTGTTGGAATTGTGCAGTATGCAGCATTAGATTGGTTTCTTTCACTTGGTAACATGCATTTAAGGTTCCTTCATGTGTCTTCATGGCTTGATAGCTATTTCTTCTTAGCAGTGAGTAATATTCCATTTTGTGGCTGTACCACATTTTATTCATTGACCTAATGGAGGATATTTTGGTTGCTTCAAAAATGGATGAATTTTTATAACCATGCTCATGAGGGAATATTCTTTTTTATAATATCATTGTCTAGTTCAGGGTAATGCTAGCATTATAGAAATGAGTTGGGATGTATTTTTCCTTTTTATTTTTGGGGGAGAGTTTGTGTAGAATTTTACTTCTTCCTAGAATGTTTGGTAGACTTCACCAGCATAGTTCTCTGGGCCTGGAGTTTTCTTTGTAAAAGAATTTTCAACTACAACTTTTATTTTGTAGCGATAGGGCAATTCAAGTCATCTATTCTTCTTGATTGAGCTTTGGTAGTTTTTGTTTTTCAAAGAATTTTTCCATTTCATCTAAGTTGTCATGTTTATTCACATAAATTTTATGATATCACCTTGTTCTTCTAGTATATGTAGACTATGTAATAATGTCACAGTGCTCATTTCTGAAATTAATAATTTGTCTCTTCTTCTTTTTGTGATCAACCTGGCTAGATATATTCTTATCATATTTATTGATCTGCTCAAAATGTTTGGTCATACTGATTTTCCCTATTGGTTTCATTTTTGATATCATAGCCTCTTCAACCTGCTATGAAACCATGCCATACACTGGGTAGTTTATAAGCAACAGAAATTGATTTGTCACATTCTTGAGACTGTGAATTCCAAGATCAAGCACTGGCAGATTTGGTGTCTGGTGACTGACCACTTCCTGATTCAGAGATGCTTTCTTTTTCCCTGTGTCATCACATGGCAGAAAGGGTGAAGGAGCCCTATGAGGTCTCTTGTTTAAGGGCACTAATACCACGTATGAGGACGTGGTCTTCATGACATAATCATCCTCCAGAAGACCTGCGTCCCAATGCCATGACCTCAGTGATGAGGTTTCAGCACATGAATGCTGTAAGAAAACAGACATTCAGACCATAGCAGATGTTTATTATTTCCTTTCCTCTTGCTTTGGATTTAATTTGTCTCTTTTTTTAGTTTCTTAAGGTAGACATCAAGGTCATTCATTTGAGATTCTTCTAATATAGACATTCAGTTCTGGCAATTTTTATTTAAGAACTGTTGTAGTTATATTCCCAAAATTCTGCTATGTTATATTTGAATTTTCATTCAGTTCAGAATACTTTCTAGTTTCTCTTTTCATTACTTCTTTGACCCAGGGTGGTTTAGATATGTTTTACTTAGTTTCCAAATATTTGAATATTTTCCAGATATATTTTTGTTATTTCTAATTTGATTGCTTTTCAGTCAGGGAGCATACATTGTAGCTCTTAAATCCTTTGGACTTAACCTTTTTATTAAGATGTATTGTATGGCCTAGAGGATAGTCTATTTTAGTTAAGTGCTCTATGGGTGCTTGAGAAGCCTGGTGTTGTTCAGGCTACTTTATTCTTGCTGATTTTCAGCCTCTAGCACTTACTGAGTACCTGGTATTGAAATCTCAGACTGTACTTGTGAATTTGTCTATTTTTGCAATTCTATCATTTTTTTGCCTCATGTATTTTGAAGTTATGTTACTAGATGCATTAACATTTATGACTGTTATGTTTTCTTGATTAATTGAATCTTTTATCATTGTGAAATGGCCTTATTTATTGCTGATAATATATTTTTTTTTTTGCTATGAAATCTGCAGTACTTGGTACTAATATAACCACCCCAGCTGAGCCTTCTTTTTTTAAGTGTTAGCATGATATGTCTTTATTTCTTCTTTTATCCAGCTTGTGTCTTGACATTGAACGTGCATTACTTATAGGCAGCCTGTATTTAGATCCTGCTTGTTTATCCAATCTGACAGCCTTTCACTTGATGTTTTCAGACCGGTTTCATGTATGTGATTAGTGATATAATTAGGCTTTTCTGTCATCATGCTGTTTGATTTCTGTTAGTCCCAGCTGTTCTCTGTTGTCCTTTTTTCTCTTTCTGCTTTCTTTTGAATGAGTCTAGTATTTAGTTTTTAGTCTCTTTTTGGGTGATTATCTAGAACTCTTTGTTTTGCTATCTTAGTTGTTGCTTTAGGAGTTTTAGTATATTATTTCTTTTTTTGTACAAATGGTAAGGTTACATATATTAATATATATATTACATATATTACATAAATTAATATATATATTGCCCATGCCCCCCTTCTCCCTCGAGTCAGAGCTTCAAGTGTGACCATCCCCCAAACGTTGCACATCTCACTCATTATGTTTGTATATACCCATCCCTTCCTACCCCCTCCCACCTGCCCGACACCCGATAAATGTTATTCCTATATGTCCACTTAGGTGTTGCTCCATTAATACCAGTTTGCTGGTGAATACATGTGGTGCTTGTTTTTCCATTCTTTAGATACATCACTTAGTAGAATGGGTTCCAGCTCTATCCAGGAAAATACAAGAGGTGCTATATCACCATTGTTTCTTAAAGCTGAATAGTACTCCATGGTATACATATACCACATTTTATTAATCCACTCATGTATTGATGGGCACTTGGGTTGTTTCCACAACTTTGCAATTGTGAACTGTGCTGCTATAAACATTCAAGTGCAGGTGTCATTTTGTAGAGTGTCATTTGATCTTTTGGGTAGGTGCCCAGTATTGGAATTACTGGATCAAATAGTAGATCTACTTGTATCACTTTAAGGTATTTCCATATTGCTTTCCACAGAAGTCAAACTAGTTTGCAGTCTCATCAGCAGTGTGGGAGTGTTCCTATCTTTCTGCATTCACTTTAACATTTATTGTTTGGGGACTTTTTGATAAAGGCCATTCTTACTAGAGTGGTATCTCATTGTAGTTTTTGATTTGCATTTTCCTGATGTTTAGAGATGTTGAGCATTTTTTCATATGTTTGTTGGCCATTATTCTGTCTTCTTTTGAAAAATTCTGTTCATGTCCTTTGTTCACTTTTTAATAGGGTTGTTTGATTTTTCCTTGCTAATTTTCCTGAGTTCTAAATAAATTCTAGTTATGTAGCTTGCGAAAAGTTTTTCCCATTCTGTGGGTTGTCTTTTGCTCTCTTAACAGTTTCTTTAGCTGTGCAGAAGCTTTTTAATTTGATCAGGTCCCATTTATTTATTTTTGTCGCTGCTGTGATTGCCTTTGGGGTCTTCTTCATAAATTCTTTACCTTTAGTATATGATTTTAACTTATCACAGTCCACCTTCAAGTAATATTATACCACATTATATATGGCATAAGAAAATTACAACAGTATAATTCTTTTCTCCTCTCTTAGCCATACCCTTCGTGAGTCTGTGGGGATATATAGTTTTCACTAGATGAGAAAGTTTTTGACCATTTTTTCATCAAATTTTTATCCTATCTCTATTCCTCCCTCTTTGAGGACATATATTATTTCCTTAAAGTTTTCTCATAGGTCACAACATCTCAAATTTATGAATTTTTGTGATGTCTAATCTGTGTTTATTTCTATCTAAGTGTACTTTACATCTCTTACATTGTAATTTGCATCTCTATCTTTTTAGTTTGTTTTGTAAAATACTGTCTTCTATGGCTGTACTTATCTTGAGTTATATATTGGGATACAGTTGAGTTACTTATAAAGAGCTTGATCCTCTCTGGTCTTGCTTTTATGATTTGTGACAATACCACACCTGCAAGGCAAGACCTTTTTGACGATTCCTTGTCTTGTGAAGTCTGTGTCTCTCTGGCCCTTTTCTCATGGTAATGAACACTTCTTGCCACTGTGTGAGCACCAGGTATGGTTTCCTCAAATTTATTTAGGTGGTTTTTCCCTTGATCTCAAGTCGTTTCCTAACACACATGTACTGCTCATAACTCTGCTAACTACCTAAAAAGGAATCTCTGCAGATCTCCAGGGTTCTTTTCTTCTACTGTTCTCTCCTCTCCAGTGTTCTGTGGTCTCTGTCTGCATTGGTTTTTTCAGACTCTCAGCTTCATCACTGCAACTCAGGGAGTCTGGTAGAGTCTACCTCAGTGTTTTCTCCATGTGTCATGTCCTGAAAACTCTGTCAAAGCAGGGAGCTGGGGCATTCCTAAGGCTTTCTTCATTTGTTTTTTTGTTTTCAGGGATCTTTGTCTTCATTGCCTAAAGTCCACTGTCTTAAAAATCTTTGTTTAATGTTATTTATCTGTTTTATTTATCTTTTTGGTTGTTTCAGGTAAGAAGGAAAATCAGTACCTGTTCATCTGTCTTGGCTAGAAGCAGACTGCAGTAGAGCTTCAGCACACTCCCTAGAGTGGCTAGAGTGCTTTTCTTCCCCCTTTGTTCCCTGCTTGCTTCTCACCTTCCATTCCTCAGTGTAGCCATCTCTTCCTCAGAGACATCTTCCCTGGGCCCAACATAGACCAAATTGTCATGTGTGATCACACAACTGTTTTCTCACAGCACCTATCTGAATTTATTTATAATTGCCACATTTTTGTCTATGTTCTTCACTACACCTAAAGCTAAATAAGAGCAGAGGTCCTGTCTGATCTGCAGAACTTAGTATAATGTGTTCCCCATTGTATGCACTCAGATATATTTGCTCAGTGTATGAATGAGTGAGTATAAAACTGTGCAGTCTTTTATATCCAAAAGGTATTCGTATATTTTATTTCTATCTTTTTCTCCCTGGTACAGCCCCTCTTCGCCTATTCAGAATCCAGAATGCAGTTCTTTCATGTGAAAGATTAGCTGAATCTACAGATCATTGTGAAAAACTTACAGAAAAAGCTAAAAAAATGGAAACTGAGGTTAGCATACTTCAAAAGGAGCTATCCGAAACAAAAAGAATAAAATCAGAATTAGAGCGACAAAAATTTGAATGGGAACGAGAACTCTCCTGTTTGAGGTATGACATTCTAGATTGAAAGAAATGTTTGAACTGTTTCCTTTAGGCTACAAATATATGTTGAAGAATTTTTGAAATGGCTGACTTACCTTCTAGGGTTTAACGGGAGAAATCATCTTAGTCTGGTGGAATGTAAAATTCTTGCAAATAATACAAGTTTGTAACTGTGACTACATCTAATAAATGCATATTTTTAAAATCATTATTTTAATAGCTATGTTAGATAGAAGTTTACCATAGAGAAATCTCATTATTTATTTAACAAAGTAAATTTGGGGTTTAATTTTTTTTATATTATAATTAATGCTATGAGGAACATTTTTATATAAATCTTTTTTCTGTATTTCACATTATTTACTTGGAATAAATTCTTCAATACAGAATTATTTGATTAATGTATTGGAATCTTATAAAAATATCTCTGATCACTGTTCCTAAATTATGCTCAAGAAAGTTTATACTGATTTATAGTTCAACCAATAGGGTATGAATTGGCCCTTTTTCTCAACCTAAAAGAAGTTTCTTTAAAAAATTAAACACTTTTGTTCTTAATATGCAAAAAATAAAAAGTAAGATGGGAAATGATTATTTATTAGCTTTTTTTTTTTTTTTTTTTTTGAGACAGAGTCTCACTTTGTTGCCCAGGCTAGAGTGAGTGCCATGGCGTCAGCCTGGCTCACAGCAACCTCAATCTCCTGGGCTCAGCGATCCTACTGCCTCAGCCTCCCGAGTAGCTGGGACTACAGGCATGCGCCACCATGTCCGGCTAATTTTTTGTATATATTTTTAGTTGGTCAATTAATTTCTTTCTATTTTTGGTAGAGACGGGGTCTCGCTCAGGCTGGTTTCTAACTCCTGACCTTGAGCGATCCGCCCGCCTCGGCCTCCCAAAGTGCTAGGATTACAGGCGTGAGCCACCTCGCCCGGCCTTATTAGCTTTTTAAACATCTCTCTCTCCTAAACAGATAAAATTAACTTAAAGTTCTATGTTGAAAACACATATTATTCCTTATCATTTAAATAAATATTAGACCTTATTTTTTTTCAAAAATATTTTAAAGTTGTTATATAATACATAATAGTCAACAAGATAATTTTAAGTTGTTTCCAAAAAAAGAAAGGGTCAGGTAGCAAATATTAGTCTCCTTAGCCTAGGCTTGAATTATAGTAATCTGCAGGTATATGTTGTGTGAAAGACATCTGAAGGTGTTGTCTTACACTGCAAATCAGTTTTATCAATACCCACACTATTTTGTGGGGATGAAAATTTATTTCCAGTGAATTTATCAACTAGTTTATAAACAGTAACTTTTAAATTAGTTATCTCTAAATGATCTGTCCCAATTGAGGGGTCATTATGATTATGTAAAAAAAGAGATAATTTTCAACTTGTAACTTTACTGAATAATTTCAGATATCCTTTTCCATAATGTTTACTAGAGTAACTTTACTAGAAACTTACCAATTAGGAGAATATTTGTTCATGTCTACCTTGCAAGTGTTATGTCCTTTGGAAGAAATTCAAGTGAGAAATTCAAAACCTTAGAACTGGAAAGGAAAAATATTTCAGAACACTGAAATTTTATTAGGATAACAAACCAATATGTGATGAGCCAGATCACAAAATAAACTTTTCATTTTCTAACAAAATTAATTTTAAGATAAGTATATTTAACTGCAGATTCGCCTTAAAACAAGTGGAAGAGAAGAGGAGACATGATCATATAGTATATGAAGAAATTAGAGAAAAGTTAAGAAGAAAAAAAGAGCAATATAGGAAAGAATTTGAAGTAAAACAACAACTAAAACACACTCTGAGGACACAAGATGTGGAATTGATGGCTCTAAGAAAGAAATGGAATGAGATAAATCAATCTTTGGTAAAAATTTCATGATTATTATTTTATTTCATCAATATTACTTATATTCCTTTGGTTTAATATTTATTATTTAGTGCTAAAACAAACCCAAAATGTTACCCTAAAAATAAACTATGACATTCATAGCTAAAGTTATTTATTATAAATCTTGGCCTTCAAGTAGTATCTTATTTCAGCATAAAGAGCTTTTGAAAATGATATACCATATTATGTACTTAATGATGATTTATTGAATGTTTTGTTCCTAATAAAATAGTTCAGTCTATTTCCCCCATTCCACATTTATTATTATTTCAAACATAATGAAGAGAAAACAAAAATGATTGCAATAGCAAATAATCTCATGATTTTCTATGAAGACCTCTATAAATTTTATCTTATTTATCATTAATGTTTTAAAATAGAAATCTTCTTGAAAGGGTGGAAACTTACTAGGTGCTTACAGTGGGTGGAGAAAGAATTCTCAGACAAAGTTTAGGATAAACAGAAGTGCAAAGTTTATTGACAAAGGAGAGGAGGGGAGAAGAGAGAAAAGGAAGGAAGGGAGGGAGAAAAGAAAGAGGAAGGAAAGAGAAAGAAGGAAGGAAGAAGTAAGATGAAAGAAAGACAAGGAAGGAGAAGGAAGGAAGAAAGAAAGACAAGGAAGGAAGGCAAGCAAGCAGGGAGGGATTGAGGGAAGAGGGGAGAGAAGAAAGGAAGGAAGGAAAAGAGGGAAGGAGGGAAGAAGGAAGGAAAGGAAAAAGGAAGAGGGAGAGGAAAGGAAGAGGATAAAGGGAGGGAGGAGGAGTGATAGAGAAGGGGCCATACACACAGCAGAAGTAGTGAAGATGATGAGTAGAACTCCATGGTATACATATACCACATTTTATGAATCCACTCATGTATTGATGGGCACTTGGGTTGTTTCCACATCTTTGCAATTGTGAATTGTGCTGCCGTAAACATTGTAGTGCACATATCTTTTTTATAGAATGTCTTTTGTTCCTTTGGGTAGATACCCAGTAGTGGGATTGCTGGATCAAATGGTAGTTCTTCTTTTAGTTGTTTGAGGTATCTCCATATTACTTTTCATATAGGTTGAACTAGTTTGCAGTCCTACCAGCAGTGTGTGAGTGTTACTATCTCTCCACATCCATGTCAACATTTATTGTTTTGGGACTTTTTGATAAAAGCCATTCTCACTGGAATTAAGTGGTATCATTGTGGTTTTGATTTGCATTTTCCTGATGATGAGAGATGTTGAGCGTTTTTTTAATATATGTTTGTTAGCCATTAATCTATCTTCTTTTGAAAAGTTTCTGTTCATGTCCTTTGTCCACTTTTTAATACAGCTGTTTGAATTTTTTTCTTGCTGATTTTCCTCAGTTCCTAAGAACTTAAAGCTAGATGGGACTGGGGCCCCATTCTTAGTCTTCTTAAACAGAATAATGGCCAGCCTAGAATTCTGTGTCCTAAAAAACTAAGTTCCATACATGAGGGGAAACAAAGTCTTTCTAAGACAAGCAAACACTGAGGGAGCTTGTCAAGATAAGACCTTCCCTATAGAAAGTACTTCCCTATAGGAAGTACTCAGAATTGCATTATATACAGATCAGCACAATAGACAGTCACCAGTGTAAAATCACCCAAAAGCTAAATGTCAAAGACCAGATACCACAATGGCTGAAGAAATAAAATAAAGCAACAAAGTCTTACTCAACAGGATGAACAGAAATCCACCCCACTTACCAGTTTTTTCAATAAATCTAAATGGCTTGACCTGCCCACTGAAGAGACACAGGCAGGCTGAATGGATAAATATATACAAGCCAAGTATCTCCTGTCTTCAGAAACACATCTAACCCACAAGGACTCATTTACACTCCAGGTGAAGAGATGGAAAACAATATTCCATGCAAATGGAAACCAAAAGAAAGCTGGTATAGCAGTTCTAATATCAGATAACTTAGTCTTCAAATCACCAAAAGTAATGAAAGACAAGTTTGGTCGTTACATAATGGTTAAAGGGAACAATTCAACAAGAAGACATGATAATTCTAAATATTTCTATACCTATCACAGGAGCACCCAGATTGAGAAAGTGAATTCTACTCAATCTAAACAAAATGATAAGCAGTACAACCATAATAGCCAGGGACTTCAACACCCCTCTAACAGAATAAGACAGATTCTCCAAACACTAAATAAAGAAATAATGGGCTTAAACAGCACTCTAGAACAAATGAGAGGGGCCCTGGAGCTCCCAGGGGATTCCTAGTTCTCCACCTCAGTGAGGTGGATGAAGGAGCGAGGCTGAGTGGGGCTAGGTGGGGTAAGCCTGCCTTCAGGCTCCACAGAGGTAGGCCCTAGAACTGTCTTGCAAGGATCAAAGATCGGCTCCCAGGCTGCTCAGGAAAGCTGCTGGAAAGGGTGCTGATGTAGTTTCACCAAACTGGAAAGCCTGCTCGTGGGCAAGGGGCTATCTAGGATTCAGAGACTGGCTGGCTGGAGTGAGATTCACTCTTCTCCCTCCTTCCCTGCTCTACAAGTCTCCCTCCAGTGTCTGGTTGCAAATGGGCATCCGAACTCGCTGGGTTTACCAGCAGTGGTGCCAAAGATGGGGGAATTCCCTGTCCAAGGTCCCATCCCAGTCTGAAAGTATGGCTTTCCTGTGTGGGGGAGTGGTGCCCCACCTGTTTGCTGCAGTCTTGGACCCATGCACTCTTCTGTCAGTTGCGCCCATGTGGGCTCCCTTGCCTCCCCAGTTTAGTTATCATATCTCCCCTCTGTGCCTCCAAGCAACCTGACGGAGTCCTGGGGTTACAGGATCTGGCCCACATGCTGATCCCACCAGCAGGCATCTCCAGGGAGTGTTGGTGGGAAGGGAACTCCCAGAGCAAGCACCCCTACGTCCTCAAAGGGAAAGGTTTGGTCCCCACTCTTTGGGGAAACCTCAGACTCAGGGGTACAACAACATAGGGGAGTCAGCCACTTTTGAGAGTCTCAGCTCACTCATTGCTCTTGGCTGCAGTGGGTGGGGGAGGGGTGGGAGGAAAAGAGACTGTGAACAGAGGAGAGCCAGCACTCCAGCCCCTTCTGGTCCCTCTCTCTGGCAGGAAGCCCACACAAAATGTCCAACCTCTGGGATCACACAAATTTCCAGGGCCCCTGTCATCTGGGCAGGAGTTGGGAATTGTGTGGGAACAGGTGATGTGAAAACTGAAGGGCCAGTGCTTTCTGGGGTGGACAAAGAGATGCTATCAGCAGTATGGTGCCTGCTGTCTTGGTTCCGGACCATGGCTGTTGGGAGAGTTCCCAAGGGGGCTGGAAGCCTGATGCTTTATTTTCAAGAAGATCCTACTTCGTTGGTTGCAGTAGCCCTTGAGCTCATGTCGGTGGAAAAACTCCCAAGCAGCTTGGAGCCCTGCTGATTACCACAGGTGTGAGGGATGGAGAAACAAAACCCCCACCCACCTCTCCCCGAGGCTCCAAGCTTCTCTGGGGTTGATCTCTGCTGATGTCTTTTTTTTTTTTTTTTTCCTATTCTGCTCTGAACCTTCTTCCTGTGAAACCTGTGGCAGGCTCTGGCAACTTCCCCCTGGAGCTGTACCCTTTCCCCCTTCTACTTTATCTGAAACCCACCCTTCCCTCCAGGACAATTTGACAGCTGGTGTGTTTACTCAGCCATCTTCCTCTCTCTCTCATAGAAATTTTTGAAACTTTGGGAATTGATGCTCTATAAGGTTTGAGGTTTGCATCCACCTTCTTTTTTTCCAGTTAGATAACCACTTATTTGCAACACTTTCTTTGTATAAATGTACAGGTTATTTTTTTAACTTCAGAAGAAATTATGGTATGCCATTTTATTGAGTAACAGCTAACACGTTCCTTTGTTTTACTTAAGATTTCTCCTAGTGGTGACAAAGAAACAGATCTGTTGCGTAATGAAATTGCCAGGCTAAGAGAAGAAATAAACACAATAAAAATGCAAAACAAGGAAAAGGAAAAGAAATATTTGGAAGACAATAAAATCTTACAAGAAAATAATAATGACCTTCAAAGGACGATAAAACTAAATGAGGAAAAATTCACCAGAACAGTATCCTTATATGGTGGCGAAATCACTGTTCTAACGCATGAGAATATAATACTAAATTATAAACTGGAAGAAGAAAAACAAAACAAAGAAAGACTGAAAACAGAAGTTGAGTCATACCAACTTAGACTGGCCGCTTCTACACAGGATCATGATCAAAGTCAGGCCGCAACAAAAGACCTAGGGCTTGTCTTCCAGCAAGCGAAAGATGAGTTGTCTTGTAGACAGGAATATGTGAATTCTCATGCCAGCATCCTTTTCCAACAACTTTGTGAATCTGAAAGGAAATTAAGAAACCTGCAAGCTGAGTTCTGTCATACAAGAGATGCTCTCCAAGAAAGGACTCTGGTTTTAGAAGGCGTGCAAAGAGACCTGAGGGAGACACAGTTTCAAAGGAAGGAAATGGAACAAAAGTTCCAAAGAGAACAAGACAAAGTGAGTAAGTACATCATAAAGCAGGAGTCTTTGGAGGAGAGATTATCTGAAGAGCAATGTAAAAACATGTTACTTCAACAACAACTAGATGATGCCCACAAGGAAGTTGCCAATAAAGACAAGGCAATAACTATTAACCAAGACAAATTTTATGCGACTGTAAAAACACTTGGAACTGAGAGTAAAATGCAAAGTCTTCTGTTGGAAGAGAAAAATCAGAAGTTAATGCATGAATGTAATCATTTAAAAGAAAGAGTGTACCAACATGAAAAAGAGAAAGAGAGAGAAGTAAGTATTAAGAAAAATATTTTTCAAACTTCCTAGAAGAAAATTTAAAGTAATATTTGGTAATGGCTAAATGTCGTATCTGGCTGAATGTGAAAATATCTAGGTGATAAATGTATTTGTGATATCAGCCTAGAAACATACCTTGTTTCCAGCAAATAAGGGTTACAGCTGAGAGATGCTTTACTTTGAGTAAAGACATTGCGTCACTTATAAAATGTTTAAGTTACAAATTGCCAATAGATATAGGGTAATATTGGTAATGTATTCTTATAATGCAGAAATAATAACTTTAATGTCTTTATGTTGCCACATTTTAAGATCATGACAAACAGAAATGCTCATACTTGAAATGAGTATCTTGGAAGATTCAATTAAGTGGCTTACATTGATAGTTAATACCAGATTTTCCAGATGAACTGAAATGTATTGCTGTACCTGTAATACTTCTCCTTCAGTAGCTTTTTACACATTTTAGTTGGTATAATTTTACTTTTATTCATGTCTGTTTGACTTAAATATGAAAATATTTCAATCTCAAATTACATATTTTTATAATCATTCAATTCTTTAGAGGCATTTTAAGAATTGACTTTTAATTATAAAAGTAGTATATAATTATTAATATATTAATTATATATAAAATTATATTAATTATATATAACTATTATATATAATATAATATATATAATTATGTAAAATACATATAATTATATATAAAATATATTAATTATAAAAATATATAATATAAAGTCTACTTTAAAAGTAGACTTTTAATTATATCATAATGTAGGAAAATTAGGTGCACTTCAGCAAAACTATATTTGATTTAATCTGCTTACTAGTATTTATAACTTTGAATATTTTAGCAAATATTTGTAATTTGCTGGTAATTTTCATTTTAAGGCTGAGGGACTATCATTTGAATATAACTTTGTCCAATACAAAGATTATTGTAGCCGTGATTGATCAGTTTGGTATCGGATTCCCATTTTCAGAACAGTTTGAGGCGACAGGATCCACATATAGTGGGAATGGAGTGGGCAGGGGAGGCAGTTGTAGGAGCTGAGGTAAGGGCGTGGGGTGGAGGCCAGGTTACCTGGGGCCTGGGGGACTACTGGAATTTTACATTTATTCTAAAATAGGAATCTATTGGAAGAGTTTGGGTAGAGGATTGAATTTGTGAGGAACTCTGAAGTCAATTTGAGCTTCTAATAAAAAAGAAAGCGTAGAATTTACCACAGCTGTCCCACCCACATACCTGTGAGGTCATTTTGAGACTTGAGTAGGTTGTTAAGCATTTCACATTCATCAGGGCAGGGATGAATGGTGGACTGAATCTGTTGTCTGACTAACAGAATGCCAACTTGGCAGGAAGATAACCCCTTCTGTGGTGTCCTTAACTGAATTCAGTGATAAATAGGAGCATGTACACACAAGGGAAAGACGGTGAATGAATGTATGTGGTGATATTTTTCAAAAAATATATGTTAGAGTTAAACATAATGAACATAATTTAATAATGAGGTGATTTACAATATTAGTAACGAAAATATCTTATCAGGCAGTTGAGAGACAACTTCGGCAAGAACTGGCTGGTATCGTACATGAACTGTCTAGCACCGAGACTTCGCTAGGGATTAAATCACGTTGTCAGGCTCATTTAGAAGATGAGACCCAGGATTCAAAGCAGCAATTAAGTCAGATCAGAAGTCAAGTATGTATGAAATTTAACATGTCAACAGTTCACCTCGAGCGGGTTCAGTAATATAAAGTATTTTAGGATACTAGTTTTGGTGGACGGCTTTCTTTTATATTTTCCTTATGATTAGTTTTATTACAATTTTATTATGTTTATAATGCCCTTATTTCTTAAACTGTGACTTTTGTTCTGGCATCTTTTCTTATAATTACAAATATATTTTCTTATAATATGTGCCCTTAGGAAAGTTGAGGATTATGTATCATTCTTTACAGAAGTTGAGAGAATGTTTTATCTGTTAAACAGTGTTTTTAGTGATTTCTCTATTGCCATGGTGAGGCAGGCCAGATTAAATCAGAGGATAATGTCTAATGGAATGTTCCAGAACATAGTCTTATTTCTTATCTTTGTTTCTGTGACTCGATACATAATTTGTGTATACTTATTTCATGGATTTCAGGTTAACTTGTACAGAAAGATTAATATACTGTTCTTCAAACTGCAAGTGTTTTAGGTTAATTTAATAACCTTTTTGAAAGTTTAGTTTCCTTCATTTTCCTTTCATTTAAATTGTCTTGTAAAAGCTTAGAGAGATTCAGGCCATGTATAGCACATACATCAAAACAGAGAATTAAGAAAATTATCCAGATCCTGCCCTTGGATTTTTATTGAGGTCTCATTCACATACCACGGGGTTCACCCATTTAAATGTCTCTTAATATTCACAGAGTTGTATAACCATCACCACGATCAATTTCAGAACATGCTCATGGCTGTGAAAAGAAACCTTGCATCCCAGAGCCATCCCCTCCACCCTCATCATAGTCTCCAGCTTCCCCAGTCCTAGGCAGCCGCTGCCTACCTTTTGTCTCCATAGATTTGCCTGCTCTGCACATTTCTTACAATGGGGTCGTATGTGACTGGCTCCTTTCACACAGCATGTTCTCAGGGTTCATCCATGTTATAGTGTGTGTCACTCTGCATTTCTTAATATTGTCCAGTAATACTCTGTTGCCCAGTGACCCGTTCATCACTTGATGTACCTTTAGGTTGTTTCCACTTTTTGGCTATAACATATAATATTGCCATGAACATTCATTTACAAGTTGTGAATGTCCATTTTTATTTCCCTGCCATTGAATATTATCCTCAGAGTTAGTTGGTGGATTTCACCGTCTTTCTGCCTGTCTCGTGCTGACCTTGCTGCCTTTTCAGTTTCTGGTCATCTAGCCTCATGCATTCAGACTTGGTGTACAATTTCCCCTTCTTCATAAAGCTTTTCTGACTGTTCTGGCTTTCATTATCTTATGCCTCAGCACTTGTTATCTAGTCTGTGCAGAACGAGTTAGTCCTTCATTTTGCATTGCTTTTATTTTTTTTATGAGAGTTAATCTTGTCTAAACATAAATTTGTCCAAGAGAAGAATAATATCTGATGTGCCTGTCACTTATCCTTATATAAATTGAAAATGTTTTATCTTTACAGTTGTTAGGGTAAAATTTAATACTTTATACCATACCAAAATTTTCTTGTCTGTGAGATTGATATAATAAAATTTTGTTCTAAATGTATTTTTAAGCAATTAAATTTAAAATGGAAACTACTTAATCTAATAGGGGAAAATTGTTCACTCAAATACTCATGCCTTTCTCTCTATAAAAAAGAAAATTTAAATTAGTCATCCTTTATTACATAGCCAGAACTGAGATTTGCAGATAGATACTGCTTTACAAACTGAAGAGCTCTGGCTGTAGCCTTTCTGATCTGCCACACCACAAGACATTGATCTGCTCATCAGAGTGCTTGCTAACACAGCCCAAAATACACAGTTGCTGGGAATGAATTATTCCAGGCACCTTGATTTAGCAATAGGGTCCAGTGTTTTCAGGTCAGTGGCTTTGTCAGTTCCACGCTAGTCAATCCTGGAGGTGGTCTGTGCAGTGCAGTACATGATCATCCCACCGAGTACTACAGACAGAAGAAATCTATGAATTCTTTTTTTTTTTTTTGAGACTGAGTCTCGCTCTGTTGCCCGGGCTAAAGTGCTGTGGCGTCAGCCTAGCTCACAGCAACCTCAAACTCCTGGACTTAAGCCATCCTCCTGCCTCAGCCTCCCCAGTAGCTGGGACTACGGGCATGCACCACCACGCCCGGCTAATTTTTTTCTGTACATTTTTAGCTGTTCAAGTAATTTATTTCTATTTTTAGTAGAGACAGGGTCTCGGTCTTGCTCACGATGGTCTCGAATTCCTGAACTCAAACGATCCACACGACTCAGCCTCCCAGAGTGCTAGGATTACAGGGATGAGCCACCGACCCGGCCTTATGAATTTTTTTAAGTAGACAAAAGTGCTGCTGGCTAGTGGAATTGGTGACAGTTCTAGGAACTGTTCTAGGAGTGACAGTTCTAGGAACTGTTCTAGGAACTGTCTAGGTGACAGTTCTAGGAAGTACTAGGGATGTATTCTAGACCTCATGCTTCCTATTTGATGCCACTTTCAGTGGGGTGAAGAGTGATTCAGTGCAACTGTAGGAGATCACTTCCATGGCCATGCCACCTGCCTAAAATATAAAACTTTATTAGAACATAAAAAAATAAAATAATAATGCTAATAGTAAATATATACATTACTCACTATGTGCCTCGTACTTTTCCAGGCACTTTAGGTATATTCCCCAATTTAATCTTTTCCACATCCCGGGAAGGAAGTTACTATTATTCTCTCCATTTATAAATGAAGAAACTGAGACATTAATTTGACCTTTTTGCTCAAGGTCACATTCCTGGGAGTGGTGGAGCTAGTATTCAGACTCAGGTCTTCCTTCCTGTGTGTAGACCTTGCCTCTCAAACTATTCCATGAAACATCTCATTGTCATCTAAAGGACCGACCCCACTGACCCCTGTGGGTGAAAATGAAGACATGCTCCCCTCACTCTACTGGAATCTGGGGGGTGCTATGCCCCTGTGTAGCGATACATAGAATTCTAGCCTTTTTTCTCTGTTCCCTGTATATTGGATTTGGAGAGTACACTGTGTCTCTCTATGAATATAGACAGTTACTGCTTACCAACTGGTATCTATCTGCTTTCTCTTGTTTAAAAAAAGAAAAAAAACTTTATATGGTCATATGTGGTCAGCAAAGCATGGCTTTGACGTGGTTGGGTAGGTTAAGTGGGCATTTTATCATGGCTTCTCCTTTAGTATGTTTAATTTTGAGGTTTAACAGTCATCCTCACAGTTTAAGATGACACTTTAAAAATAAATTCTCTCCTCGTGAAGACGTGAGCCCTGCCATACAGTGGCAGGGTCAGCAGAACCGTAGGGTCTTACTTGAAATTGACATTCTCTATTGCACTTTTGATCCTGTTTATTTTTAAATTGTCTTTTTCTCTCCCTGAAAAGGAAAGATGATGATAAATATTAGATGTTGAAAGTTTATAAGTTGCCTTGTTATAAAAAGAAAATATATACATAAAGATAAAATAAAGTTACAGTTCAAGTAGTGGTCCTTGGAACACAAAAATAGAAATGCTCACCATAATAACGTAATTTTCCATCTTTTCCTGTTTTACCACTTTTGTAAACTTGAGTATTTATCTGGTATGACATAATGTGAAAACAAGAATAATGTTGTATTTTCATCCTAGAGCAGGGGCTGGTAAACTTCTGTGTAAAGAGCCAGATAAATGTTAGGTTTTGTGAGCCAGAGGATCCCTGTTACAAGAGCTCCACTGCGCAGTCACAGCACGAAAGGGGCCATAAATACTATGCAGGATGAAGGGCTGTGTCTGTGTTCCAATAAAATTTAGCTACACAAACAGGTAATGGGCAGATCTGTACTGGATTTTATTTTTTTTTAATAAAAGTGTGTTAGTCTAAAAACCATGTTTTCTATATACCACATTTTGTTTATCTATTCATGTATTAATGGAAATGTAGGTTATTTCCAAATGTAATGTTTCAAAAATTCCTTGTTTTAGTTACAAGAAGTGCACAGTCAACTGGAAGAGACTGGAAGATTTGTTAAGAAGCTACAAGACCACAGGAAAAAGTACAACTTAAAACAGCACAAAAAATGACTTGAGTATTATAAAGCAAATAAGCATATAGTTTGAGAATTGTACCAGTTATGATAATAACTATATCTGAGTGAAGCCAAGGAAAAATTTCACCTTTAAGTTATTTTTAAATGCATACTTTTTGTACGTTATTTCTAAATTTGCACATTTTCCATGGACACAGCTAGAAAAAATGATAGAGTTGCCAAATCATCTGCTTTTCAAATCTTTAAGAAATTATGTAATTATACTTTCAAAAGTTTGTTCAGAAATTACTTGGTATTTTAAAAATTTGTGTTTTAATTGTTTTAAAATATACATTTTAGCTTTCAAATTGAAAATTCAAGCACCAACGAGGCAGTGGACAATGTTGAGCAATATAAGAAGCAGCTGTTAAGTGCAAGTTCGGTAGGTCAGTTGCTTACTTTCTGTCATACTGAAAGGGAGTTTTATTTCTCTAGTAGTACAGGTTGAGTATCCCTTATCCAAACTGCTTGGGATGAGAAGTGTTTTAGATTTTGGAATATTTGTATACGCACATAAAATATCTTGAGGGTAGGATCCAAGTCTATACACACTGTCTAGACAGTTTATTTATGTTTCATAAATACCTTATGCACAAAGCCTGAAGGTAATTTTTATATAATGCTTTAAAATAATTTTGTGCATGAAACAGAGCTGTGAGTATGTTTGGACTGCAACCTGTCACATGAAGTCAGATGTGGAATTTCCCACTTGTGGTGTCATGTCCACATGCAAGAAGATTAAGATTTTGGAGTGTTTTGGATTTCAGATTTTCAGATTCAAGATGCTCCACCCATAGTATAGATGCTCCTTGACATACAGTGGAGTTATATACTGATAACCCTCTGTAAGTAGAAAATATCATAGGACAAAAATGCATTTAAAACACCCAATCCACCTAAGCTACTGAACATTATAGCTTAGCCTTGCCTACCTTAAACATTCTCAACATAGTCTAACACAAAGCCTACCTTATAATGCAGTACCGAATATCTCAGGCAAAAGATACATTATTAATGTAGGTAAGACTTAAACTTTATTTTATTTTGTAGATTTCTAGAGGGAAAGTAGCATCTGTTTCTCCCTTTAAATATTTCAATTTCTGTCAGTATTAAAACTAAATTAATCTTTTAGATTAATGATTCTCACTAGAGAATTACTTGATTATTAAGACCAGTTGGCATAAAACAAGAACATTAAGAAAAGAAAAAATTTTGATTTAGAGATAAGACCACACTCTTGAATTGTTAAGATACATACTTCAATTTTTAAGAATTTAAAGTGACTCTATTATTCTTTGAATAATCAGATTACATGGGTACTAAAATAAGAATGATTCCTTTTTTATAATTTGATTTAATATTGAATTATATTAGTTGATATTGATGATAAACATTTTAAATTTCTGCTTTTTTCGCATATTTAAAATTACTCTCTGAATCACTGACTCAAAACTTAATACAATAACTATTCATGCTATAATTATTTAAAAATGTATACTTTTATTTGTTTTAGACACGAGCACCATCTCAGATGGAACTGAATGTTACACATAGGGAATCTGACATCTCCACATTAGAAACTTCTCAAGATGATTTTGATGAAACCACATTTAGAAGATATGATCAACTCTATCTGAAAGATTTTAAACATAGAAAATCCTTATCCAGTAAACTAAGCGAGTAAGCCAAAACATAGAACCATAGGAAATATAGTAAGCTAATTAATTTGCCTCAGAAGCATAAGTTTTAGTGAGGGAGGCTCACGAGATTAGTTGGAAATGACAACTAACTAGATAATATAATTTTGGTGAATGATGTTTGTGAAATTACCTTTGACATATTGCTTTATGATAGTTTATGTCTTTCTCCCTTTTTCTGGTTTTATATACCTTTTTTTTCATGTAATACCATGTAGTTAGCTTGATCTCTTAGTCCTTCAATTCAGCTAGATATGTTTGAAGCTTTATAATTTAGACAGTGATATTGTTATAAGTTGCTTGCCAGCATTTCTCTAAGTAGAAATATTAATGAGTTTAACTGCTTTCTGGAAGATTAGAACTTGAACCAAAACAGTCAAGTGCTATTACCACTCTCTCATCATATTCTGGCACTTCATAAATTAACTTCCCTTGATTGCTATCTTTGGTATTGTCACTAGTGGGCACCCTGACACAAACTATCTTGTATAGTTTTCCATTCTACATAGAGGCATACTTGTGAATGGGGAATGATTAACATAGGGAGGAAGGGCTGGATAATTCACAAAGTGGTTAAAAATAATACACTGTTCAGCCTGAGGGTCATGTGTGTGGAAGACAGAAATGACAGGTTCCATCTCTGATACCCTAGTAACAATGTTGGAAGCTAATTTTCATTGGAGTTGCATTAGCTCTTTTTGATCACCAGCTCAGCTATCTCATTTTCCCCTAGAAGTTGTTGCTCTGAATTATTCCTCAGTGCCAAATACTTAATTTTTCCCAGATAATGGGTGAAATGTACAAGGGCCGTGAAAGCAAGCACTTGACAATGTCTTTGAGAGATTTTCTTTAAACCTCTGAACTGATTTACTAAATGAAAGTATTTCTAGCTTTCTTTAAATTTTAATATTTTATTGTATATACTTAGGGAGTACAACATGATGCCTTAACACATTTACACATCACTATGTTATTATGGTTATTATAATCTAGCAATTTAACATATTTATCATCTCACATAGTTACCATTCAAACACAACTATTTCTAATGGCATCCTCAAGAATCTTACCAAGAGAGCCATTCCAGAAGGCAGCAATCGTTGCCTGTTAAGCGGTACATCAGTGATAGCCACTTGTCTCCCCTCTATACTTTGTCTGAACTACTTGCTTATTAGAAATTTCTCTAGAAATAAGTGTACATCTATGAAATGATTTTAAAAGTATGATTACAAACAGTAGGCATGTTCTGACATATGTGTTAAAACACTGTTTAATGGGAGATTTTATTTACTTACGGCAACTTTTTAAAGTGAAATTCATTTAAGAATAATTTACAAAAAAATGAAATACTAACCACTTACTTTTGCAATCTTCATAGAGCGGATCAGACTCTAGCAGAGGTCGGGACTGAACTGCTTGAGGAGAAATCCAAGAGTTCTTAATATACCAGTCCTGTGTGTGGCCAGTCCTACAGTGTTAACTGTGAACACTTAGATTACTCTGGAATATAGTTTGAAAGATACTAAATATGAAAGAATCCATGTAATTAGCTAAAATTTGCTGATCCATTATTGTTATGTATATAATGTTTTCATATATTTAAAATGAAAAAGTATAAACAAGGTTTCAGATATGCTCCTTGTATTAATGTTGTACTTCAAGCTACCTCTGCCATCTGAAATCTAATCTGTGCCTAGAAATAAACAAAAAGGAACAGTGTTATTATTAAAAGTGGTTTATGTATTTTATTCCATAAGGCCAAGTAGCTTTTGATTTAGGATTATGCATAAAATGAAGATTATTAATTTATTAAGCTGTTTTATTTTTTCTGGCAACATTCAGTTTCTCTTAAGCTATTGTTCCACACACTTCAGAAGCCATTGATGGCACCTTATCTAACTGAATAGGACAGGGATTAATATCACCAAGAGATTTTTCTCTCCTTTTTTGCTGTGATCTTTGCCAGGCAGTGTATTAAGTCACTCAAGTAGAGTTGACAATTCTACATTTCTAGTAAGAGGAAAAATGTGTGATTCAATGGGAAAATAGGAATAAAATGAAAGGGACTTTTAACAAGTCCTCTATATTTACCAATTTTCACTTATAAATATGGACACCATCACCCCATCCTCCCACCAACTACTACAAAACTGGAGCCATCAAAAATCAAAACACTGTCACTAAGCGTTTGGGTGGCTGTCCCAGAGCAGCTCTCTCTCAATTGCCTGGGTCTGTCCCTTTTCCCTCTGAGCTTTCATGTTTGACCTGGTATCTCTTTCCCAGAGTCAGTTGCCCTCAGCAGTCATTTGTGTGATAACATAGTCAACGGTCAGTGAAAGGCTGGAAGAGAATTGATGGAGGCGGAGGACGCTCCAGGGTTGGAATAGAGGCAGTTACTTCTAGCATGTGCTCTTTAAAAAGAGTTAGAAGAAAAAGATGACATCTAGTTAAATTTGTTATGCCATAAGAATTCTCTATCTAGAGAGAGATTTCTTCAGTCCAAAGGTAAGTAATCTGTTGAGAAGAGTATTTCATTTTTATCTAAGTGAAATGTGCGTTATGCAAGTCTTTGTGAATGGGGTATAAAGAAGTAACAAAACTCGTTATACATATCTAGGAAATACTTAGGAGAAGAGGTTTTGGGGGAAAGGTAAGATGATTATACCTTAGCAGTTCCTCAATTCAAGTCATGTGAAGATGTACATTTTACATAGTGTTTCTTAATTATAATAAAAGATTCTTTCAATGAAGCCTTCTCCTTTTATCTTATATTAATATTTAATTTTTGCTTTTGTGAGTAGTAGTGTTATTGTCATGTTCACACATTTTATAAAGCCTCTCCATTATGTTATTGTCACAGAGATGTAACGGAAAACTGTCTCTCAAAATATTGGGCAATCTGTTCATCAAAAAAAAATTGTCTTGGCCAGGCACAGTGGCTCAGTAATGCAGCTTTTTGGGAGGCCAAGGTCGGGGTTGGCTTGAGGCCAGGAGTTTGAGACTAGTCTGAGTAATATAATGAGATCCCATTTCTAAAATTATTTTTAAAAACTAAAAAAATTGTCTTCACACCTAAAATTTATAAAGGCATTGAATATCGTATTATCATTACCACTATGAAGTATTTATTATGTTCAGTAGAGTATTTCAGATCCTGTTCTTGATTTTGGGTGAGAGGATACTTTTATGTGAAAGAGTGAAAAACACTCTAGGTGGGGACACTTGCAATGTTGTTGAAATATTTTCACATGTTTCATAATTCAGTAGATTTAGTCAGATGTTTCAAAAATTGGTAGTGATACCTGGAGGTGGGAAGAAACCCAGCCAGCTCCACAAAAGCAAAGGTGTGAAGCAGCCCTGACCCTCGGTCCGTGGCGAGCGCGGTGGCAAAGTGTGTCTCCACGTGTGCCAAGTTAAAGCTCCTTCCTTCCTGGGAAGGCTCAGGGCCGCTGTCAAGAGTCGGCGCGTAAGGACAGGTGGGGCACGTGGGGGGCTGAGTGATGGCTGGGAAGTGGGGGGTCACTGCCCCCCTTTGTGGTCCCAGAGAAGAGCCACGTTGCCACCGTGGCGCTCCCTTGTGGCATCAGCTCCCTGTCTGCGTGACAGTCCACCTGCGCCACCCTACTGTCTGCTGGGCCGTTGGCGGGAGGGGAGAGCTCGCCCTCGCCCCCACCCCCGCCCCCTCAGAGGCCTCCCGAGCTCCGATCCCTGGGGCTCGTGCAAGAGCAGTGCCGTAGCTTACCCTTGCACGAGCCCTTCCACTTCCGGGCTGGTGACCGCAGGGCCCCTCCCACAGCCCCCTCCCGTCCTGCTTGCAGATAGAGATGCTCAGTCCCTTCGAGGCAGTGGGCGAACGCTCCAGGAGCAGACAGGACGCTCGCCACGGCCCTGGACGCCACCCGGCACGAGCTGCCCGTGAGGGCGATCCACCTGGAGGGCGACGGGCAGCAGTTCTTAGGTAGGAAACGGGGCATCCCGGCTGCGTTGCGCAGCTGCGGCGGTGAGGAGCGCGTGCTAGTGCTTCCCGTGGGCCTGACGTGGTCGTGACAAGTGTGCTCTCCCGTCTAGTGGCAGAGGATGGTGGGGACCGGCCAGGCTGTGGTTCCTCCAGGGTCTTGCCCTGAGTAAGCGACTTTTGGGATTTGTCCAGGGCTGTGGGATTCACAGTGATCTCCTGTCCTGCCGAAAGGCATTCTTGCGGGGCCGGCCTGCAGTCCCTGGGCCCTACACGTGCGAATCGGTGGCTGGCGGGGCTGCAGGGCCACCGGCCCACCGTGGCCCTGCCGCTCCGCAGAGCGTGAGGTCTTGGTCTGTC